TTGAGCACATAAAAATGTTGTGCCAGGAGTGGGGATTCTGCCATTCCTCCCCTTGAACTCATAGCATCTCGTAGCCATTTCTGATTTTAAAAAAACGTTGGGAGAAAGATATACAAGGACTGCAATCCTATGCCCATTTGCCTGGGAGTAGGTTCCACTGAACTTAAGGAAGGTTACTTTTAAGTCAGAATATATAGATTGTACTGTATGAGTCTATTTATTTCCTCTGTTCCCTTCTGCTAGCTAATGAAAGTCAACTGAACTGCAGGAGAAAAAGCTTTGCATACTGAGAAATTGATGGAAATGTTACAATTGCAGTGTTGTTTATGGTGATTGGAGAGGAACAGCAATGAAGCATAACACAGCTATTTTTAAAACCTGTTTCACACACAACATTTGGGCTTGGACCTGAAAAAGCCAAGTGTGAATGAGCATGTAGCCACATGCTGTTAGATTTGCAGAGTCATCTCTCAAAAATGGCTCTTAACAGAGTAAGACTGCTTTCATCACCACATCTGTATGGCACCTGAATAATGGGGCTCTTATCTAAGCCAGTAGTTTACAGATGTTACATTTGCCTGCATGGTAATGTCAGATCCTCCTGTCAGATTTGTCCCAAAGGTGCTGGTTTTACACATGTAGAAATTATCCAGATCTGAAAAGCAAACCAGCATGCTCAAATAAAAAGCTTGTCTATGAAAAGCCAGGTAGCAATAACAACAACAGCAGCAGCAGCAGCAGCAGCAATAATTCTCATTATTTTTTAAACTGTTTAACCATGGGGAAGCATAACTCTCTCGTTCTCTCATACTGGTTAATTCATCTGTAACTTAAACTGGCACAAGGGATTCAGTCTAGTGTATGCACATACAGCAGTTATACCAATACCTGTTTTGTGCAATTCTCTACTGTACCAGAGGAAGCTTCCCCCCACCCCCACCCCCATTCTCTGAAAAGCAGAGCTTTGTATTTTTCCTTCCATGGGGTATATTCTTATCTCCTGCCTGGCCCCAGTGGATAAAAACTTTACCTGTAGGCAACGTTGGCCTATCTCAAAATGGGAAATCCGGTGAGAGAGCTTCTCTTTGAGATCTTCAGGAGGCTTTTGATGAAAAAAGGGAAGGAACCATATGCCAGAGAAATGAAGGAAAGAAAAAGGAAACATCAGAAGTAACAAAAGGACTTTTAGTTTAGCAAGGTGCAGAAGGAATGGAAGGCAGAGATGAGCCATCAAAGGTAAAGCCATTTCTCACGTCTATTCCTAGCCTGTGAGTGAATTATTGTCTGTCTGTGCCTACACTCCCTCTCCTGCTGAAATGGGGAATCAAGAAGCCAGATGAAGGGTGCTGAAGACAGAGAGCCCTACTGTGCTTCATTAGGAAGTCAAATGTGCTCTTTAGAAGAAAGATGAGAGGCTGCCTGAGACAGGGAGAAAGCCACAAGGGACCTGGTTTACGTTCTCAGAGCAACTTGATCCTAGCTCTCCTGAACAACAGACAACCCTCCTTAGGCAAACGGCATCATTACTGCAACTGCTTCTAAGGACTGGCCTGTTGGCAGCTCTAACAGCTTTTAAGGATGTGCCTGTTAGTAGCTTTAGATTTCCTCTAATCTCTTATTATCTAGTTGTACAGAAGCACCACTAAGGACATTGGCTTCCTCAAGGAAAGCACCATTCTCCAATAGACCCCAGCCATGACATTCCAGATTAATCTTCCCATTTGTGCAACACAGCTAAATCAATGGGGGCACAAGATCTGGGCTTTTTAAATTCAAGGATGCAAGTTGTTTTTCTGCTTCAGATGTTGTTTAACATTAAGAAAAGTCACTTGGGTCAAAGCTATGTTACCCATTGGGAGATTACATTTCTTGACACTGTCTGGCATTGTGAATGGTCTTGTATGTCTCCATTATGTGTTAAGATTGAAGAAGAGTTTGGATTTGATATCCCGCTTTATCACTACCCGAAGGAGTCTCAAAGCGGCTAACATTCTCCTTTCCCTTCCTCCCCCACAACAAACACTCTATGAGGGGAGTGGGGCTGAGAGACTTCAAAGAAGTGTGACTGGCCCAAAGTCACCCAGCAGCTGCATGTGGAAGAGCGGAGACGCGAACCTGGTTCCCCAGATTACGAGTCCATCGCTCTTAACCACTATACCACACTGGCTCTTTATTGTGGCTCACCACTAACTTCTAGCCTAAGACACATTGTGGAGGTTTTTCAAATAAGCAATGGCCATACATCTGGAGCATTCACAAGACTGAACACCATGTCCAACATTCAAGCTGTGACCTACATGTTAAAAAGGTTGTGTGAACTAGCCCTTGTGGCTTCTCTCTGTCCTAGTGGCACATTTTGGAAACTGGGCCAATACAACTTTCTTATCTTACATAATGTTGCAAAGAGATGCTGAGCTTTGTGGAAAGTTATGCACTGCATGCAGATTCCCTCCCCACTTTCCTTAAATAATTCCTGTTTGCTGCACTGGGCCTTTTATGGGAGGGGATAAATTTTCTGTAGTGGAGAAGGCTTGGTTGTGGGAAAGCCAGGTATAGATATTCACTTGGCTATGATGCTGATTCGGTGAACTTTGGCAAGACACTTGAAAGAAAGCAGTGAGAACAAGGAACAAGGAGCAGGGGGGGGGGATACAGTAGGCAGAAACAGCTAAGTACAAAATAAGACAAAAACATTGCAGATTTCCAGAGAAACGTTTCATACAAGTTCAGCATAGGCCTTTGATTTTTTGGTACAATAGCTTGGGTTCCACTGTGGAGTGGGGAGTATAATCCACTTGTCACTGAACAGATTTTAACAAGTACAGGCATTCCCCGCATAGACAGCAAGTCACATTTTAGCTTTAGTACAAGTTGCACAAGTTCTCTAGCATTTTATCCCATCTACATATAATGGAAGCTTATGGGGAGAGAGTGGGGAGAGGCAGACAATCCAGGGCAGAATACATTCAGAGCATAGCTGTACTGCTCTTTGCCTCTATTTTTTAAAATAAAAACCCAAACCACTTTCTCTTCACCTAGACATGGAAATTAAAATTGACTAGTCCCCCTGCTATATTATGAAGTGCCTAGTGCCTACTAAATCAGGTAGGCACTTCATAACACTGGCTATATGCAGGAAGAAGAATGCCTTTGCTCACTTGTTACAAAGCAGTAACTCAAGTACCAACAGTTGACAAAATTGCAGGGCACCACTGAGGGGGCTGGATAGATGGCTTTACTCGAGCTTGTTGCTTTTTTAAATGACTGGATTGAGCACTCATGCACATGATTTGTACAGCTGAGCGGCACACAGCCTCTAATGCTTCTTTTTAAAAAGACCCAAAAATTTGGGGCAGAGGAGTTGTATCACACACTAGTGATGGCACAAGCACCATTCAGGTAGGGGCATGTGGTGCTCACCTAGCCATATTCCACAAAGTACCCATAACAGCAACGGATGGCATACTGGAGGAAGAAACGTACTTTTTTAAAGGAGCAAAATACTGCAAATCACTAAAAATTGGGTATTTAGGGGCCATCTGGTTACCAGCTACCAGAACTTGCAATACAGAGCTGAAATTTTCTTCAGCCTATTACCGTACCACTTTAAAATCACTCTAGTCCTCCAGGGACAGCAGTTACTGTCACATCTTCTCACACATGCAAAAAACTTCCCTCCCTCTAGGAGTTGTTGTTTGTTTAATTGGTTAGCACAGACAAATGTCAATGAACTGACATTGCTGCTGTGATGAGGCTGCAGTAGGTGCACCTGGTAGATTGCTTCATCTTTGTCCTGCTCTGGAAAGCACTTTTTAAGAGGCACTTTACCTAGGGCAGGTATGGGGATCCAACTGTGGCCCTACCTGCAAGTCCCAATGACAAGCACACATCCCACTTGAGCCTGGATTCCTGCAGGAAGATCTTATAAGAGCTGCTGATACTCTTACAGCAGGAAAAGAAATGTAGAAAACATCCCAGAAATAGGCTTCGTAAGTGGTCTACAAGAATTGTATACTGTATCTTGTAAAGTTACCTAATTGCACAAGCAAACCCAAAGACTTCGCTAGGCTAGGGAGACCATGTTGTTAGGGTAGTCCATGAAAATGCATAGGTGGTCATCTCCCCAATGTTAGGGTTCCACTTTTGATGGCTTCATCTATCATCCTTTTTGGCATTACCAAGGAGTCTGTGATGCATTAGTGCAGTTAGGTAATTTTAGCTTGGCCTTCATTGTCTTATGGGGGAAGGGGGTTCTTTCAATGGTCATTTGTATTACTTCACTTCAGAAGTGAAGTTAAACTATGCAACTCGCTCCTCCCACAAGGTGCAGCAATGACCACCAATTGGGATGGCTCTGAGGGGCTTTGAGAGCGAGAAACACCAGTTCCCAGGATCCTTAGGTATACTTGGCCATAATGCCTATGCCTTCAGGCAGTTTGCCTCTTGATATCATTTGCTGGGAACCCCAAGGGGGAGAATGCTGTTGAGGACAGGACAGGTCATTGGAAGAGATGGGCCTTTGGCTGGATCCAGCAGGGCTTTTTTTTACATTTTTCTTAAGGTGAGGCAGCCCTGTGTGGCACCTGAGGGCCCTCTGTTCATTCCGCTGCGTGGTGGGACAGACTCCCTAAGCAGGTCTTCCACCCCAAAGTCCTGCCCTGAGGGACAGCAGAAGTGGCTGGAGCATGCACAGACCTCAGCTTGTCCAGGAGACGTCTCCTCGCGAAGGCCTCGACATTTACCGTCTTCCGGCCTGCTGCGCACAGATAGTCCCTGGCGAGCAAGCTCGTGTGTCCTTACATGTATCACTTGAGGGAGCACCACACGTGTCGCACGCTTGCCTCTAGTCACGCGCGCTTGCGTGTGTCAGTAGAACCCGGCGTTGCGCGCGCGGGGAGCGGGGGGGGGGGCGGTGAGAAGAAGCAGGTGCGGGAGGCGGGTTTAAGGCGTTCTACTGCCACCTGCGCGCGGGAGGAACATTCCGCCGAGGCGAGAGCCCGCGCGCAGTGCGCCTGGACATATACGTGTGTATGTGTGTGCGTGCAGTTTGGTCTGCGCGCGCGCAACCCGGGTGGTGGGAGGGAGAGCGGCTGGAGAGAGTGCGTGTTGGTGGGGAAGAGTCGGCGCTGGCAGGCAGGATGCGCTGAGCATTACCCAGTTGCCATAGAAACCAACAGAAGGAGGTGGGCGGCCGGTCGAGGAGGGGGAGCGATTTGCCCGCAGTCGTCGCGAAGCTGCTGCTGGAGTCGGAGCTTCGCCAGAGGAAGCAAACCTCGCGCCCTCGCCGCGGTTCAGGTGGGAGAGGAATTTGAACTCCCTTTCCTCCCCCGCCCTCGTGTGCGCGCGCGCGCGCACACACACACACACAGCAACACACAGACACCGCTGTGGCTCCTGAGCCTTTCTCGAGGGGTCTTGCAAGGGAGCCTTCCCGGGCAGTCTGCTAAGCCTCCCGCGCTAAGCAGCGGCCGGAACTGCACAGGTAAGCCCTCGTCTCTTATGTCGGGGTGTGTGTTCGTGTGTGGGGAAAAAATAATTATCGGGGTTCATATTTTGCACCCCCATTTCTTTTCCTCCTCCGCCTCCCACCCGCCAGCCCTGCAGCATCGAAGCGGGGACGGTGGGATTTGAAGCAAAGGTCCATCAATTTCTGAGTGCAGCTGCAAAAGAGGCATGGGGTGGGCACACAGCCCCACCGAAGAACCTTTCCGGAGGGGCAGGGGGATGGAAGGGGCAGTCCCTGGGCTTCATCTGTTTAGTTGCGCTTCGGTAGAAGCTTGTCCCGTGCATCTCTGGATCTCTCCTCTACTTCCCTTTTTTCTTGGTGTTTTTTTTCCCTATTGGGGTTGCACCTGACAAGATGTGGGTTGCACTACATGCAGTGGGAAGGAGAAGTGCGCTACTGTGACCAAAGCCTGCGTTGGGGCTGAATTGTGGGGCAAAGCAGCTGGCGGTTCCGCAAGCACCTGGTGGGCGGGTGGCTGGAAATGATACCAGGATGAGCAAAGGACTCTTAGCTGAACTGACATGTGGCTGGGTCCCCACCTTGATTGATGTCCCTTGCTGCAGGGCAGTCTGCCTCGGGACACAGGGGTGAACTAGTTTCCCAACCTTGGGCCTCCAGCTGTTTTTGAACTACAATTCCCATCATCCCTGACCACTGGTCTTGCTAGCTAGGGATGATGGGAGTTGTAGTCCAAAAACAGCTGGAGGCCCAAGGTTGGGAAACACTGATCCCACTGGGTACTTTCCAGCCATGGCGATGATGAGCACATTCTGCAGTTGTACTGACCTTTCAGACTTAGACTGTCTGCACCATTTTCATTTAAGGAAGAATTGCACTGCTCCTTGAACAACGACAACAATTCTATGTGATGCAGCAGCAAAAAAAGCTAATGTTATTCTAGGCTGCATCAACAGAAGTATAATACCCAGGTCAAGGGAAATAATAGTCCCACACTATTCTGCCTTGGTCAGACCACATCTGGAGTACTGGGTCCATTTCTGGGTGCCACAGTTTAAGAAGGATATTGACAAGCTAGAATGTGTGCACAGGAGGGCAACCAAGATGATCAGGGGTCTGGAAACCAAGCCTTATGGGGAATGGTTGAGGGAGTTGGGTATGTTTAGCCTGGGATATATCTATATATTATATCTGTCTTGGATGCTTTAGTTGAGATTCCTGCATTGCAGGGGGTTGAACTAGATGACCCTCAGGACCCCATCCAAGACTGTGATTCTGTGATTATTATTAATATTATGGGATTGTAAGAGAGGTTCATTTGCCTCCTCCTCCAGGGGTGCCAAAGGTTCTCAAAGAGGGGGAGGGTATTTCTTGGCCTCTTCAAGGAAGGAATGCTGGAAACATTTTGGGCAAAGGGAAGGATCATGCCCTAACTCCATCTGGAATGCCTTCAGATCTCTAATCAAATATAGCCAATATATATATTTTTGAATTTGTCATCTCCAGGCCAAACTAATGGGCAATGGCAGCAGGGTAGGCCAAGGTTTCCATCTTTTAGGGTCCATTACATTATTCTTTCCATTTCCAATACTGCAAGGGCATTCCTCATTATTCCAGGAAGAGAGAAGCTAGATCTGGAAAAAGGAACCAATGTGATGCACAAATGCCTACAATCTGCTTTATGCTGAATTATTTCTTTTAGCTATCTTTATCCTGCTCAATTTAAGCCATGCACCATCACCCCCTCCTCATAGCAGAACGAATTGTTCTTGATAGGGGGCAGGGAGGAAGACTAATTGTTGTAAACAGATGAGCTATGCCTCATTCCTGTAGGTGTGCTGTGGGAACTCTCTTCTGGGACTGAGGAGAAACCAGGTCTAAGGTGTGGGGCTTATAGTCCTAAATATGTAACCTGAGAGCAAAGATATCCTGTCTATCCTTATGTCTTCTTGCTGGGCAGAGTAACTCAGCCATCAGGTGCAGTGGTTTCTAGAAATGACTTAAAATCATTGTGGTTATGGTCTGTCTGCCAGTCTAATAACACGTAAGATCAGAGGTTTTTTATTGCATGCAGGCATGTTAAGAGTGAGAGCCTGTACTTCGTGGGATTGGTGCATGACTTGCTCACCATGGACAGGGAGTCAATATGGCAGCATAATCCCATTGCCATCATTTGCCCAAATGGTCATGTGAATTGGCCCTTGGATGGTTTGTAGCATTCTCCTAGATTTGGTTACCTTTAGTCACTCACTGCAATCACAGAAGCCTGCCACACAATTTCCTCCTTTACGAAAACTTGCATCAATTTCCTGAAGCCATGATTGAAGCCAAGTACTTCACTATCCTTAATACATCCCACACATCCAGTTTTCAGCATAATACCATCTGATTTTGCCTCTAGCTCTGCTTGCATTCTACAGAGTATCCGGTTCTTCTGTGACTCTCTTCTGCATCAAATCCAAATTATATGCTCCTTCATACTCTATCAAGCAAACCCCTTTTATATTACCAATGTATTTTCTCAACAACCTATTGTGGCATACTGCTATCCCATTTTGATCCAGTCTGTAAGACTTTATAAAACAGACAAGACTAGAAGTGGCATAGGTGCAAATTGGAACTGAAGCCAATAGGATTTTGGTGGCACAAGTGGCAGCCTCAGGATTTCTTTACAACACAAAGCCTATAAATTCATTCTTCTCTAAGTCCCATATTTGAATAAAGTTGACAGTCTCAGTGCTCTGTCTAATAATTTGTCATGTCACTGTCTCCTTTCATTTGCTGAGAGATACCTAAATATCTCCATTGCCTTGTTTCTGGAGTAACTGTAAGCTCCTCTAGGCAGGGACCTGATATATCATCTGGTTTATTCTGTAGAGGATCATGTACATTTGGAGACTAGGACAGAAAACAGAGGCTGTGAAAATATGAAGATGATTCTTGATTGCTGGTTCTTAGATAATATTCTTCCCATCACTAAAGGAGAGAGAGAAATTGCAAGCATGGAGGCAACCATTATCATGAGGCATGTGCAAAGCTGCTTCCTGGCATTGGCATGCTTCCAAGTGCTGCAGCAAGTATAATATGCAAGTACAGATTCCAGCAAGATCACAGTGCATCCTTGGCATTCTGATTTTAAAGGATGCTTGACAATAAGTTAAAGGCTGAAGTGCTTTTAGAGCAAGCTTCAGCCTGAGGTTTTGTATGCACTAAACAAGACCTGCCATCACGGAAGCAGTCACCTGGAACACGGATGCAATGACTACACTTGCTTGTGAAGCCCTCATAGTGCCTGCCCGAGTGCCATGGTTCACTAGCTGCTGTGAGGGCCTGGATGGCACTTGTTTAGACAGCAAAACTAGCTTCCCTTAACTGTTAGGTAGATGTATTTTGTTAAATAAGAAAGCAACATAAAAAGGAATCAAATTCTGTATTCAGAAGAAGTCTGCAAAACACAACTGTTTGCATAAGGCTTTTTGAGCATTTCAGCAGAATTTGATTCTCCATTCCCTACCCTAGAAGGAAGGAGAAACGTAGGGGGGGGGAGAGTTTTAATGGAAGACAGAAGGTGTTGCACCATGCTTCCATTCATCCACTCATTCATCCACTCATATCAGATGCTAAGAATCAAAGGCTCCCTTTTTAAAAGGCAAATCATCATTTTCTTTCAAAATTGTAAGGTTGTTGGGTGTGGGTCGTTGATTATCCTCTTCCCATTTTGAAATTTTTGATGTTTTCTCTCCTACTAACATCTATCACTGCCAAGCACCAAAAGGAAAACACAAAATTATGATAGCTGGACACCTTCCCATTGTTGGCTGATGGCATCCAAGGGCATTGTTTTCTAGATGTCAGATTTGCAAGAAAGTATAACACATCTCTATATACTCTTTTTTAATCTGAAGACTGCCATATCCTTGCTCTGGATTGACTTTCTTAATAAGGGTGTTCTAATGTATTAGGTCCTTATTTGATGAGAAAGATGATAAAATTTAATATTCCAAGAGTTCAGAGTGCTTCAGAATCTAGCTGTAATCCTTACAACAAGCCTGTAAAATAAGTCACTATTATTGCCTCCAGTATTGTAGAGAGAGAGAGAGAGAGATTGGCTGGCCTAAGGCAACCTAGTGAGTTCACAGCAGAGGTGAACTGAAAACTGGCAACTTGCTGCTACAATAGTTCATAATGATAATAAGGAAACGGGGAAAAGGAAAACCATGTACATATAACAAGAGCTGTGAAAACTCTGCAATTCTATGCAAGTGTAGAATTCAACATCCTGTTACTAATATGAAACAAAAATCTGGAGAGGTTGTGAGCAATGCCTGATGACATCCCAAGAGACTGAAGAGGCTTAGTAGCCATTTTCAGCCACAGGCAGACCTGACTTCAGTGCCCTGCATAGCATTTTGTCCTTCCTCATGACCTGCCGAAGCTGATTGACTTCTGCAAAGCAAGCATGTATACTGTATGCAAATATGGTTGGCAGGCATTACTGTTAGAGATTGCAGAATATGGCTTTTCTTGGCATAGGGCTTGAGCTACGTTGGTGCAGGAGTTTTATTTTATATATAAATATAATTTGGAAGTATAAAGAAGGCCCACCCCTGCTTGTTTTATAGCTTTGCATAGCATAGCAATTCTAATGGGGTTTAAAAACAAACTAACAGGTCACAATCAGTTATATCAATCTTTAGCAGATGACTAGGTATTTCCTTTCCATTGCATAATGTTTTAAACAAGACTTGAGGAACAAAGCTATGCAATGACTTCAGTGAGACTTACTCCCAGGTAAATGTATTGTTACATCCCACCCCTATCTCAAAGTGGTGTGAGACTTCAGGGGTTCCAGCTGCTTACCCAGGGTTTGTTTCTTTTGGAAATTAGGCACAGCGGAGACTGCAGTGTCTTTATGAAATATGGTTTATTTACACATGATTACAACCTATGTCTAGATGGAGAGAGTTCCCAGCATTCACATCACAAGACAGTCCTTTGTTGCTTTTCTATGAGCAGCA